CAGCTCATTTACACCCTTTTCCTGAAGATAGAAGAGTTTGTTGAATCTGACGTGACATGTTCGTAGAAACCCTTTGTACGAACAAAAGTAAGAGAAATTTAGGATAAGAATACGAACATGTTCTTGCATGAGGCCCACTGAGTCCATCCTGTGCACATCCATCACAGTCTGGTTTGGAGCTGACACAAGGCAGGACAGGAACAGGCTGCAGCGAACAGWGAGGACGGCTGAGAAAGTCATCGGGGCCTCACTGCTCTCCATTCAGGACGTGTATCACGCAAGAACCAGGAAACGGGCTGAGAAAATCATCACAGACTCCACTCACCCGGGTCACAACCTGTTCCAACTCCTCCCATCTGGCAGACGCTACAGATCTCTGTCCACTAAGACTGTCAGACACAAGAACAGTTTCTACACCCAGGCCATCACCCTCATCAACAGCTGATCATCAGACGTCCATCAGCTAGAATATRTATAGAGAACTATCAATCACTCTTATTATACATTACTGCCTTATTCATAATCGATCTCTACACTGCTGCTGCCGTATTAAGATTTAATATTCACTTTGCAWATTGCTGTCGTYTRGCTTTTTTGGGAATAACACTGTYAAGAACACCGCACAGATATATCCTTGTATYMTGAAGTATAATGTGTGTCTTTCTGTATATTGTGTACTATACTAGAGAGACACGAACAGCCGGAAACAAATTCCTCGTATGTGTCGACATACTTGGCCAATAAACCTGATTCAGATTCTGATTTAGTGGTTAGGCTTGTTGTTCCGTGGGCCCTGGTTCAATCCCTGATCAAAATTTAATCTAAAATCTCCCCTRATCTACCAGCTCTACAGCTTTCTGAACATCTAAAAGTCATTCGGTCCTCATTTACAATTATTCACCCCAAACTCCCAGAGATGCATGAATCCAGAAGAATTTCTTCGTTGAACAGTTGAACTCATGCCCAGCGTTCAGGTTCAGGCCGTCACCATCTCCCTCCACTGCACTTTCACGTGGATGTTCAACGTGAACCAACAGGTGTCAGCAAACTAGCAGCTCTTGGAATCATGGAAATTTCTGCAACAAACAGTCCCACGGACTCACGCCCAGGCCAGCGTTCATTTTCAGGCTATAGCCAAGGGTTTCTACGCACGGCTCCCTGCCTGTCTACTATTCTGTCTCTCCTCGTGGCCTCTCTGAATTCACAAGTATTTAACCTCAAACAACTCACAGTTATTATTATCAACATCCTAATTACTGAAAATAAACATGAGTCAGCCTTTCGATTCAGTTTCTACGAAGAACCACCCCACGGACTCATGACCGGCCTTGATTCATGGAGTCTGAGGCTGGTCACAGTCCTCCTCTGCGACGTTCTCAAGTGGACGTTCAGTTTGAATGAAAAAAAAAAAATCGACTGATCGTTCTGTCTTTCAACTCCTGGATTCAGGTGAATTTTTACAACAAACCGCCCCACAGACTCGTGCTCAGCCAGCCTTGATGTTTGGGGTCAGAAGCTGGTTGCCATCGACCTCCTGAGMTTAGCTCATGTAAAATTTCTACAACGGCTCCTTATAAGTCTGCCGTTCTGTCTGTCATGTGAAACAAACCTGCCGTGCCGGAGAGGYGCGGGGTGGGAATAGAACAGGGTTTGCCAACACAGTTTGCTCAATGGCCACAAAACCTTTTAGCAGACTCTGCTACAATAACGCAGCTTTAATTTCTGTTGGGTTTTGATTATTTTTTTATTTATATTTGCTGTCACATAGAAAAAAAACTGTAGCTGTTTGAAATAAATTATGAAAGACTTGTTGACACAGTGGTCTAAGTTTGTATGCGCTTGACAGCAATTATAGAAAAATTAAAGCTGTAATAAATAATACAATACATAACGCCATTTTATTTCCACCCAGTCACCTTTAAAATAAAGCTCAGACACTTGCACAGCCTGAATATTGACATGAAATTGCGCACCAGATTGTTCATTATCAATCAACCATAAGGCTGAGAAAGAATAGGACTCAGTTTCACCCTCACAATAAACCAATAAAAAAGTGTTACTAAATTAAGTTATTAACCCTCCTGTTGTCTTCGGGTCAAAATGACCCGCCACTGTGTTAAACC